CATGATGGTTAAACATGTGGGTTATATACATGATATGGGGTTAGATATATAGTAATGGTTAGTTGCTCGAGTCCTTTTAGTGTCATTTAGGTGCATGGAAAGGCAGTTTCCGTGCCATTCTGTGAATGTATGAAGACCAGAGATTAAAATGTCTGTAAGGAATTTTAGTCTCTCTGTTCTTGTCGTAAAGTGGGGGAAGTCAATTTACGAGGAGCTTGTGACTGTAGTTACTATCGTGTGATAGTCATGCGGTCATCTCTTTTGACCATTATTCTTGATAACTTGCCCCAAAATTTTACAATCTCCTTGGACTTGTCAATGTGTTCTTTTGTGTTAATGTTGAAAACTGTTCTGTGACAGGGGCTTAGGTTTAGGCTTGCTTCAGAGAGGCTGGGGTCTGATTTATGACATCCTGTTGTCTTGGGCCTCTGTGGAATTTTTGTGACTCCTCGTGCCTCAACTCGGTTTTGACCAAATCTTAGATTGTCTGATTCGGTCTGATATCCTACATAAAAATACCCAAGATGGCTTGAAGAACATGATACATGATAACATGATAAACCCTATATTGATGCGTCATGTGTTTACTGTCTTAATGTTTAATCGGTTCAAGCGTTTCAATCTTGTTTTTATTCAGTCACAGCAATAGCTGGATACCATTGTCCATATTAGGGATTTCCTGGAATGTCATGAGGTTTATTATTTCTGTGATGCATATGTGGAGTTTCCGCATGAGGGCGCCCCCTGGTGTCCAGTATTAATACATGTGTTAGCGCTCAGTAATTTGCTGGCTTAAATAGGAATAATATTATTATTTTATCATTAATTTTTTATCTAATTATTACAGATTTTGTTGATTTGTTTTAAAAATCAGCAGACAAACCTTGGATCAGACGGTTTTGGCCAGTAGCTCACCTTTGGCAGTTCGTTTCTGAGGCCTCGTGGCAAGACAGACCCCACACGTCTTCTATCTTGAGACAGGACGCTTTGTGGGCCCTCCATGCCAGAGGGGACAGCCATTGCAGGGTCATGAAGGAGAAAAATCCTGCATTGTCCACCGGGTGCTGATGTCTGGGGGTGAAAATGGAAGAGTTTGGCTCGTATCAGTCATCTAGGCGCTCTGTGCTATGTCTGAGAACGGCGTGACCTTGAACGCAAGAGAAAATCTTTACTCGCTGCGACCAAACAGTAGATGAATCACACGTTCGTGTTTGAACAGCAGTTTGCACGTCCCTCTCAGAACTCTTACGAAGCAGTGAAAAAGTTCAGCGGCTCTTTATCAGTCAGCATGTTAAAAATCAAGCCGTCTGTGAGTAAAGGATAAGAGCGTTTCTTATCAGGACCTCACTGACTGTCACTTGAGTCCAAATGGCAACAAACATCTCCTAAGGCCTCTTTCACACCTCACAAATGTATTTCGGTGCATATGTTTATTTTGGCCCCCTATTAACAGGTTTCACACTGTTTGCATACGCAGTGTGGTAGAAGTGTAATATAAGTAAGGTTTTTCCACACTAAACTCAGCAGAAAACATGTTGAAAATACGCAATATATGTATTTTATCCACACAAGCTTTTACAATAGGCTCATATGAAGCAACTGGTGTGAACTATTCATTGTTAAAAATGACGCCGATCATGTTTAATGCAGGATAAACACACAGTGATACAAACACACAATTTCTATTTAACTAAGTGACAGTTTCAGATGATAAAAGCAGCTCATAGCTTCATTTTAAGGCTAAAGTAGGTTAATTATTATTTGGATGTAAATATGTCTCCTAATAACTAACCACTTAACAATTTATGGCAGTTATTAAAGAAATATTCAAAGCAGTAGCCCAGAAATGTCTTTATTTTCTATTAAGAGCCGCTGTGTGAAAGTAAAACGTGAGTCTCCTCTTGTAGCTTGTGAAACTTAGGTTTGAAACATCGAAGGAAGGTTGACATGCCAATCAATTTAAGAAAGATGTCATTCATTTGTTCTGTCAGATAATTTGGTGGGACCGGGACAGGAAAGAACACCATAAACATAAAAATATCTATTCAAATATTGTCAAACGTGAAAATTGTCCTGTGGTGTGACTGTCATTATGTCAAAATATATCAAAATAAATAGTGTGGACAAAAAAATATTTCAATGTATTGGCATTAACCAGTCGAACAAACTTCAAAAATATTATATAAATGTATATTTTCTATATTTCATATAATATATATATTATATAATTATAAGTTGTATATATTAATTTATGAAGTCCTGTGAAGTGATCCTTCCACATTTTAAGCATTAATAATCATAAACTAAGCTTTATGTATTTGTGCATATGGGAGTCAACAATTGTTGGAAACAATGTGTCAGTCAATTAATACCTTGTCCTGCAGTGTGACATGCTGTACAACAGCAAGAACTATTTCAAACAGCATTTGCTAATTCTTTTATAATTATTATACATGCAGTGTTTATGAGCTCAAACTACCCGAGAAATGTACTGGAATACAAATAAATACATTTTTCACACCGCAGGGCCTTTTAAATGAACAAGTGAGGGGAAAAGATCAAATAAAAGCGGTAACTGGTCACATCCCCTAAAATATACACATACCTTTCTAAAAATATATATCGATTTTTTTTTATAATTTTAGTCTTAAATCCATTTGCTAACTACCCAAATATTATTTTTATATGGTTATAACAACTATATCCACACTGAAAAAAAATGATTCATTGAATTTACTACATATATATATATATATTTTTTAAGTGTGGCTGCAAGCAATTTATTTTAACTACATTTTAATAAACACATTTACTGTAGTTGACTAACTTTCAACATTTATTTTTTTTAAATGTAGCTAAAATAAATTGTTTGCAACCACTTACCTTAAAAAAATGTAGTCTCATTTTCTTCAGTGCAGAAGAACTTACTTGTGTGTGATCCGAAAGGGCTTGAGTATCTGTAAGCTTTGGCGATATCTGCCTCGTCTTTTTGTTTCGGAGCCCAGTTCCACCTCATCATCGGGGTCTGGGAGAGTCTGTGGAGGGCACAGCGTCAATCCCTCCACCTGTCCTACGGCCTCCAAGGCATCTGAGAACATACCTGTCTCTAACAAACAAAACAGAAAAACACTCAACAACACTCCAAAAGCTACAAAATACTGTCAGGCACTTGGGACGAGCTCCTGTCCACGCTCATGACAGCCACGACTGGGAATGTCTGAATCTGCTGACTAATATCAGTGCAGTGACACAAACCTTCCTCTAACGTTATGGCCTTGGCTGCGAAGTTAAAGTGTTTATCTATTTAAATACGCCTGTGGGTGGCCTCAAGGCTCGTGGATATTCGAGCTCGCCGTGTGTGTGTTGACCCTGTCATTGATCCATCTGTGGCATAAGACACGATAAGGTAAATTCAGCAACACCGTGACTCTCTGTATCTGCTCTGTATACGTCACCGGCGACTGCCAGATAATGAAAGATAAGCACATAGTTTCATTATTTACACACTATACAAGAAAGAGCCCATGTTCGATAAAAATCACTAATGCAATAGTGAATGTAAACAATGATAATGGGAACATTTTGATATTTTAAAGGGATACTTCACACAGAAATGAGCATTCTGTCACTATTCGCGTCATTGCAAACCTGCATGACTTTATTTCAGAATTTGAAGGAATCGATCTCGCTTTTCGTGCGACTATAATGAATGGAGAGCAAGGCTTTCAAGTGTCATAAAGCACTATAGAAGTACCACAAAAAGTTCATGTGATTTGTGTGCTGTATTCCAGTACTTCTGAAGCCATATGATTGAAACACACTGAAACTTAGGTAATTATTCACTGAAAATCAACTCTATCTTTCCTTGGAGTATTTATGATAGTTCATGAGAGAACGGCCTGATTAGGACCATTTTTGTTGATCAAGTGTAGTTGTGTACAATGAAGCAGTGTGTAGTTATCAGAGTAATGAGGTATAGATATTCTAAACCAATCAAACAGCCCTAATATCGACTTGATATCAGTATCAGTAGATACTCAAATTTGTATTGAGCGATCCCTAACACAGCTCACACAACCGGTCTGAATGTTTCATTCATGAATCAGACTATTCCAGTTCTCGACTTAATGACTAAATCATCTAATGTTAGTCAGATTTGGAATAACATTTTCATTTTAAGGTAACGCCCAATACATGACCCCATTTCAATAGGCACAAAAACAGCTGAGTAGGACATAAATGCACACATTTTGGGGCTTATATAAGGCATATAAATTCATGTTTGTCTTCCCCGATCTTCAGTTTCAGACTACTATGAATATTTATCCATTTGCACACAATTTAAAGGAAAAACAAAGCCAAAATAAGATCCTCTACTACCACAATTGCCCAGTGTTGATCCAGCGGGGCTAAATCTAGTGTATAATAACTGTACATAAGTATCTGCTAAATGGCCTTTAACAATCAGACATAGTTGAATAAGAAATCAGTTTATGATTATTATATCAGTTGTTGATTTGTGCACAACACCTCCTATCTTTGCTCTCTCTATTTCTCCCTGTTCCTGGAACTGTGTGTTCCCTGCCATTTCTGGAGATGTTCTCCATTGGGATCCTCACATGGGACATTTGATAGATTATCAGAACTACTTTTATCTCAAATAAGCATGGCATGTTATTAAATAATGACCATGCATATCGACCCTCCACTATTTAAGGCGTTTAAAAGCCACGCAAAACTGGCTCAGAAAGTTTCTAAGAAGGTTGGAGCAGGTCACTTACATATCAAACAGAAAACGTCGGGATGTTGACCCTCTTTCTTTTCAGCTTCTGGATGTTCCCACAGGTTATAAATGATGTATTGACAAAGCCAGCGTTCTCTTGCTCCCTTGCAGCACACGACACATCTTCCTCTCGCCAAATAACTTCAACAGCATGCACTCTGATCCTGAGTAAAAGTTGCACTAGAGTTTGACGGAGAGACAGCTGATGGGATTCCCTAAATGCATCTTGCGTCACGTCTAAGCAGCCAATCACGGAGTCGCTTTGGTCGTCGCTATGGTTACCGGACCTGAAGAGGAAGGAAAAGGCACGTGGTGATCTTTGCAACAGCGTGCACACAGATTAGCAGACTATTTTGGGCCGGTCATCTGAGGAGCATTGCTTATATATGGAATAAGACGAGCAGTCTGACAAGAAACACTGATTTTTTTAATAGTAGCTGTTGTGTTACTCGTATATCTTTGAAAGAGTGAGAGCGAAACGAGTTGATGTTCCTGAAAATGTTACATAATGATAAGACTTTGCACAGACTTTCACTATTTGAACTGAAAAACAAACCTCTTTCCGTCTCATTTAGATTACGTTTAAAGTCTATTTTTCTCATCACTGGGCAACAAAGTAAATTATTATTTTATTTATTTAGTCATTTATCAGATGCTTTTATCCAAAGCGACTTACAAATGAGGACAACAGAAGCAATCAATTGTAGTATTAAAACAACTAAAAACAGATCCAAAACTAAAAGCTAAAACTTTATAAATACTACCTATACACATTTTAAAAAGAAAGAGATTAAATAAAAATGACAAATGCATAACTTTCAATGAAAAACTAAAAAAATCAAGCTAAAAACAATTCAAAATAGTAAAGAACGAAAGGTATGAGTATAATAATGATTCTAACATAACACTAAATTTAAATTAAATAAAAAATTTTTACATAACACTGAGCCAAACACCAAAAAAACTACGTACATGTTTGTAAGTTTGTAAATACACACACACAAACACACACACACACACACACACACACACACACACACACACACACGTGTATTTACAAACGTACAAAGATACATACACATTTATAAATTCAATATATATATATTATTTCATTTCCATTTAGTTTGTTGAAGTATTAAAATAACTCAAATTAAAGATTAGATTATGTTACTCTCTTAGCAATGTTTTCGCTAGGTAAAGGTCATGACCTCTGGCTGTGTTTATAGCTGGCAGCAAGTCGTTGTGATTTTTATGAAACGTGGCTCAAAGCAGTACAAGACACTTCAGCCCAATGTCAAAATAATTCTTCATGAAGAACTTGAAGCATTTTTATTCTCACAATATTACCACCGAACTGTCTTAGTATGACAAACGATATCAAATGTTTCACAATTTTAAAAATAAATTTTTTTGGCATAACAATCCTGAAAAATTAGGCAAATGTTTCATCATGAAAATTACTGATGTTCAGTGACTAAAATAGGCTTCTATAATAAATAAATAAATATACGGTATACAGTGCTGTGAAGTTTACTTTTATAGTCTGCTTATAGTCTGTAACTGATTAAAAACTAGATGAAAAGAATGTAGTTTACAAAAAATTTAGTTAGTAATCTAATCTATTACTTTGTTTACTTTGAGATTACTTTTGACCTAACTTGTTTATCATAGATTTGAATTGGATTAAGTTTTGATTGGGTCAATATTGATAATATTATATATTGATATTGATTGTATACACACACACACACACACACACACACACACACACACACATACATA